ATGTACATTACAGAGCCACCACTTCCCAGTGACTTGCCGGACAGACAAGATGTGGTTGGGTTTTTCTTCCAGAAGTATTTCCAGTGGCAGGCCGCTAGAAGACCAATCTACTCAGTTTGTGGATACCCCAGTCCCCATGGATAAGAAACAAAAGCTACTGTGACGTGATACCGGGCTTTGGCCTCTTTTATTTTCTTTTTACAGTCAACTCCACGTGTAAAAGACTTCATAAAGCATGGTGGTTCTGGCTGTACCCCGGGTGAGCTGCGGAGGAAAGGGCTGGCTATTCTGGACAGACTTCACTGGGACCTCCACACGGGAACATTGCTGGGCTTCTTGGTTATAATAAGCGGGGGTTTACAGAGTCTCCCTGAGACTCATCTGTGCCTTTGGAACAGCTGTTTACAACACAGAACAGGCAAGGCACAGGCGGGCAACACGTTCTTGCACATGCACCACGGCAAGGTGACCCACAAAGGCTCACAACATACAGAAGAGTGAAAAAAATGTTCTCTTTATATCCCACACCATTCCACCAGGCTCTCACGTCTAAAGGACACAGAATTCACTCGACAAAGACATTTGGACAGCACTGTTAGGATCAGCTTCTCTCTTAAATACACACTGCAAAAATATTTAACTTTCCGTTCTATGAATATTGTATATAAATATCTGTCTGCCTTTGCTATATACTTTACACACATTCACTTTAGCTGTCTTGATTCACCTACACAACAATCCTTATTGAGGCGTTAGACCGTACTGATCTGGCACTTAAAAAAAAATAATCAGACACCGGTTCGTGTTGGTTTTAGTTGGGGGGATGGAGGCCATCCTTCAGGATATGCTTCTGTTAGTAAGGCAAAATTATGCAAATGAGGAAATGTCGTGACGTTTTGGTCTGTTATGAAGCATGAAGGTTAAATCACTAACGGCAGTTTCATTATGGAAAACGGGTGCTGTTGACAAAGCTGCAGCTTTCTCCTCAGGTCAAGCAGTTACCGGTAACTCCCCCGCTCCCTCTCTCTTGAACAGCAGGTTCACGTCTCTCAGAATCCAAACATGGCCATCTATACGCTTCAGCCATAGAGTGACCACATCACCTATCAGGCTATCTGGGAATGAAAAGGGTTGGGCCACACCGGATGCTCCCTGACGGCAATAGAAACTGGTTGCACTTTGGGTTATTGATATGTGAAAACTGGGGTGGGGGGCAGGAAGGGGGCTCTGTCCTAACATTAAAAAGCATGGTCTCCAGTTCCACGCCCTGACGGTCCTGAGCTGGCCCCCATGTGGCGGCACGGCTGCCTCAGAGGAATCCTTCCCTCCACGTCGCATCCCTGACCAGGCAGCTGCAGCACTGTATGGCAGGCCACCAGCTGCTGCAGTTCAAGGGTTCCACATTGGCTTTGGTCATCATCACCTTAGAGTTGGAGAGGCTCATGCCCGACTGCTGTGCGCCTAGATCTGATCTGCTAAAGAAAGCACAGGTAGACATCAACTTGGCCCTTCCAGCTGACGTGGCGTTCTAGGCTGAAAGGGGTACCCGTGGCCCTTCTTGTTCCTTCGGGGGCCCCAGGAACAGCTATGGCACGAGTCTGACTGCAAGCCATGCTTTCTGCGTGGGCTCGTGCCCTGTGTTCCCCAGGATGGCAAACCATGAACTCATGGGGAAGGGTTTTGGGCAGTGAGGAACGAGAACACAGGCAGTCTGATGTCCAAGATCAGGAATGGGTGGAGGATTTGGGTGCTTAATATTGAGGATTATAGCATCCAGACTTTCCTTCTCTATGAATCTGTGGTGACAGGCACAGGGTGAGGGCCACGTCAGCAGCTCTCAGGACAGATTAGGATGGAGTGGTAGATTAACTTTAGTTATAGTTATTGAGGATGGAGATGAAGGTTCCTAGGATGGTAGTTAATGCTATGAAGTAGGGTAGTTGTACCATGCTCGAAGTGCCTCATGTGATCGTCCTGGCACTTGACAGCCCCTTCCTGTGTCTGAGATGACTGTTTCGAGGTTACCGCTCTGCTGACATACCTGTCAGTGCTGAGCAGCATGGTGGCTTCGAGGTGCTTGTGAAGCCACGCCTGAGAAGACTGTGGTTACCCTCCTGCACCATTCTGCTTCACCTGCCAGCCAGCCTCTCTGCCACCACCCTGAGACCTCCAGGACCTGTGGGAACTCACCATGCTTGGACACCTATGAATTCTTTGGCTTTAAGAGTCTCATAATGAGACCCAGGAGAAGGTTCTACAACCACTGGAGAAGCTCCTCAGTCCTCAGAAGAAAGTTACATCACGACCAGAAGAGGTAAGGTGGCCAGAAGCTGTGACCCTGCCTTCCCTTCTGTGCCCTGGAACCAGCAAGCCAGGGAGAAGGCTGCACTCTGACTTTTTCCTTCCTCAGCAAGGACTGGTTCTGTCCCTCAAAGCTGGAGTGAGAGCTAGTATGAGCCCTCCTCCGCCTGAAGGATGGGGCTGGTCCTCAGGCTTTTTTCGTTTTCTCACTATGTGGTCAGGGCTGGCTCAGCACTCACTGAGATCCCCAGTGCTAGGATTAAAGGTGGGAGCCACCATGCCTGGCTCCCTCACAGACCAATCCTTGCTGTCTACCTGCCAGGCTTGGCCAGGTCCCTCCAGCCTCTCAGTCTTGCCCCACACACAAGAGTAGCAGCACTTCAGTCCCAGCTACCCTGCTCCCTGTAAAAGATGGGGTGTCTCTGGACCCGAGTGTCCCCATGTGGTGGTGCTTTACACCTTCTCCTAAGGTCTACATCAGACAGCAGCACTTCTCCTCCGTGGACTCAGACGCCCCAGTTCCCTGCTGCAGAGGACTTCATGGTAAGGATGTTTCTGTGACACACACGGAGGGGATGCAGAGTCCCGTCCTCTGAGCCCAGCCTCACTGCCATCCTGCCAGGAGACCTGCATGGATGGCAGGGAAGAAGCCAGCTGCCTCTCGGAAGCCACGCTACTGTCCAGCCATTCTCAGAGCTGCGGAGCCCAGCTGGCCAAGGCGCCAGCTGGACCCGTGTCAGTCCCCAAACTGGGGACTTTAATGACTAGGCCATCAATTTAGAGGTGGCCCATGGAGCTTTGTCACTGTGAGTGGCTCTTTCATAAATGTGCTAAGCCATGGGGTGGGGGTGGGAGTGGGTACAGTGTGTTGCCAGACACTCACTCTGTGGTCAGGGACCAGACAGGCCACATTGTGAGGCCAGGGTACCATTTTACCATTTTTTTTGGTTTTGCTTATTGGAGCTTACACACACACACACACACACATTTATTTATTTGTGTATTGTGTGGCAATCAGAGGACAATTTGTGGGCGTTAATTCTCCCCTACTACTACATGGGTCTCGGGGAATCGAACTCAAGCTGGCAGGCTTAGCAGCAAGCGCCTCTACCTGACGAGTCATTTCACCAGCCCCCTTTTCCTCCTGCCTCAGCCTATGGAGTGCTGGGGTCGCAGGCACAGGGCAGCACACCTGGCCGTCGGAGGGTTCTGTAAAGATGCACTCTGAATGGCTTTCAGTACTGCTGGAGACCTACTTTCCATTCATGGAACTCCTGTGCATCTCTAGCTAGAGTTGTATATTCCTGGAACCCTGTGCTCTGGGTCCTGTCAATAAGCGTCCTCCAGGTAGGTCCTGGGAAGACCAGGAGAAAATGGGGATAAGGACAGGGAGCTGACAGTGGCCAGAAACCTGACATTCAGACATCTCCAGTTGCCTACAGCAGGCCGGCAAGGTAGACATGCTGACTGGCCTCTTGCCGTTCCATCCAGAGGCCGAGATATTCCTGTAGACACTGTGGATGGGACGGGAGTTCACCTCAAGGGCTCATACCAGTGTGGGTATCCTGTGGTACTGGGTGTCTGCTGCATAGCACCTGGGCCTGTCAACCAGGTGGCTCTAGCTGTAAAATGTCCCCCAGGCTGATCTTATTCTCAAGCCCATAGAGAAAGAAGGGCAGCTCTAAGAGTCCCATACTGGAGTGAGGAGGTGGCCTGTGTGTCTGCAAATGAAGTAACTCTTCTTGGGCAGTGAACGCTTCCACTGCCAATGTACCACTGTGCGTTGCTAAAAGACTGCATGGGGGCCCGGGGTCTGTTCTGCTCACCTCTTTTAGTTTTTTTACTGGCAACTCACCTCACCTCAACACACAAATGGGAATCCCTATGGTTGGTTAACATGGACACAATCCACCTTCCTTCTGTCCCCACCTGGAAGGGCCAGGGGCTAGTGAGGACTGAGGTCAGGGGACGTGGAGATAGATGGGAGAAAGACCAGAGGCAGCTTGTCTTTCCAACCACCAGTCCAGCCTTCTTTCCATCCATTCCCCCATCTCCCAAGGCTTCCCACCTCCACACACCGCCTCAGTCCCACGGCCCACACCATCACACTATATAACGATGACATCTCCACTCTTCCCCTACGGCCCTGATGGGATGGTAAGCTTTAGCTCAGGAATTCAGGATACAGATAACCAATATTCAAATCCCAGCTCTTCCAGCTGCTTGCTCTGCCGCCTTAGGTAATTATGAAACCTCTCTGGGACTTGCCCTGGAAATTGAGGACAGTAATAATATCTAATCATAGGATGATGAGGATTAGAGATGTTAGAGCACATCATTACAAGAGCTGAGAACACAAGCGTTAGCTGCTCCAAGCCAAGCTTCCTTAAGAAAGATGTAAACTCCTTGAGATCCGGGTATGCCCTGGAACTTGTAACTCAGTCTTGGCCCCTATAACTCTTCAAGAGCCACAGACTGTAGATTCTCCTTCCTGTGACTCCTTCAGCCCACAAGTCCTCACAGGTGCCCGCATCAAGATTCACTAGGAAATGGAATTCTTTCGGGAGATTCCCCCCCGCACGCCCCCACAAAGGTCACAGCGGAAGCAGGCTGTATTTTGCCACAGCTACAGGATATTAATATGCTCAAGAAACTCGAATCAGAAAAAGCTACTGCCCAAAAATGACACTGTAAAAAGCTCAAAATAAATGCAAAATTTAATGAAAACAAATGAGTACAAAGTGGATGGGAAGGAACGGAAACAAGTCGACGACAGATGGAGCGGCAATGGTTAACAACTGAAGTGGTTTTAGAAACGCATGGTAACATAACAGACAAGCAAGCTGGCTTTCCTGGGCGCTTCCCCAGCAGGAGCCCCAAGCAAGGGGAGTCCACACACACACACAGGAACATGTACGCAGTCAGTGTGCATAGTCACAAGGCGCCTGGATTCAGGCCACCCAGCATGAGGGAGAACACACACCCTGGTTGGCTTGAGATGCACCTGCTTGGTGGCTGCCGAGTTGGGTTTCTTTGCTTAGTGCTGGGGAGAGAATTCAGTCCCCAATCATGCTGGGCAAGTTCTCTAGCAATGAGTCACATGCCTAGCATTTTTTGTTTTTAATTTGACACGGGATCTTGTTAAGTGGCCCAGTTTGGCCTTGAACTTTTGATTCTCCTGCCTCAGCCTCCTGAGGGCCTAGGGATTTGGCATGATTATTAACAGGATCTTTTCTCTCTCAAAAGTCCAGCTTGAACCATAACTTACATGGTGATTCTACCACAACACAGAATGACTAAAGGAAAACATAACACCAAATGTCAACATGATCCTATGACAGTCCCCATGGAGCCAACATGTGAGGAGTCAATCCCAGCTGGACATGAGGGTCACGTCCCCCAAGGGCAAGCTTCGGGTTTTTCTTGCACACCAAGGATTAATTTAACCTCAGCTAAAGATAATGGAACTCCACACAGCAGGGGGAGTGTTTGCCATGGCTGACAGGATCCATGGGGGGAGGGGAGCAACTTAGACTCTAGAAAATGCAAGTCAGGTCTCCCCAGGGATGCTGGCAGGCTTTGGGCCAAAAGGTGGGCACTGACCACAGCAGCCTTCCAGTTGCGGCTGTGAGCTGCAGGTGGCAGCGGGAGAATTTGCTGCTCCAGAGTCCCTGGCATGGACTATCAGCCAGCAATCCTCTTGTACAACCCGCCGGCTCATCCTAGTCTCTAAACATACCGGCTAGGAGAGGCTGCTCTCAAGGTCAGGCTTGGACCGAAGTGAATACACCTTCAGATACACAATTTCCCTAAGAGGAGCCACTGGCCTGCAGTTCACCTCTGCCTCAGACACCAGAGTCCAACATCGGTTCTGCCATGACCAGAGGCAGACTAGGGGCGGAGCACACAAGGCTTCCAAGGTCTGAGCCTAATTTTGTATTCCTTTGCTTAAAGCAGTCTTTGTAAATAGTTCAAGAGTCCAGCCTTGCAGCCAGGACCCACCCTGGTCATGGAGGATTTTTCCTCAGAGCACCAACATGTACTATTCTCCTACTGTATGGAGCCTCTCACAGGTAGGTACAGGAGGCGGCCTTTGGGGAGCTGTGCCTCAGTGGAGTCACAACAACCTCCCGCTCCAGCTCACTCTGAATGAACCATCATCTCAGAGGGACAGGAAGAAGCCAGACTGGTCCTGGGCAAAGAGAAGCAGGCCTGGCCAAAAGGGGAAACGGTGATGGGAGGGAGATGAGGCATAAAAAACTGAACGCAGCATCAATCAGTGTGGTCCCCTCAGGTTCTCAGTGAGTGGGTGGGCCCTGGGTGATCAGCTCCTCGGGATGAGGCTTCTGGGGAGCCCGGTGCCCAGCCGGTGCTGCACCAACACTAAGGACATTCGCTTTCACCCCATTTTCAACCCTGAGGCTTGCAAACCACCAGGAGCAGAGCAGAATGGATTCTGTCAGGACTTTTCTTGTTTTGATTCTATTTTTGAGATAGGGTCTCATGTAGCCCAAGCCGGCCTCTACCTCTACCTCACTCGATTATGAGGCCAGCTCTGGCTTCCCCCCTCCCAAGCGCTGGCATTAGAGGCCTGCACCATCACACCTGGCAGCCACTTTCTTCAAAGTGTCCACCTGGAAACTATAGCCGGAGGGGAAGCTCTCAGCCACTGCTAGGCTTTTGTTTTTTTCTTTCTCTCTCTCTTCCCCCCACCTTAAATTGTCCTAATACTTCAGACACCTTTATTTCCTTACCCCATGACTTGGCCAGGAAAGAAGTAACAATGACCTTGACATGACGGCCTTCTCCCCACTGAGCACGCTGGTTGGGAGTCAGACACTTAACACACATGCACTTGGTCCCTGTCACAGGTAGCACCTCTAGGTCACAGACAAGGGCTTTGGGCTGCTGTTCCATTTACATTCACAGTAAAAACGCCGGGCGTGGTCTTGGTCGGGGTCCACTTCAGTCCGTAAAGAAGTCCCAAACACTGCCACAATAGGAACTTTATTTCCCCTCTCCCTGTGTGTCATAAGAGTGCTTTCTGCGTAAGAAGGTTTAGAGCTCTTTTTAGTTAAAAAAAAAAAAAAAAAAATCAGGGAATCTGTGTTACTTATGAAAATAATGGGAAAAATAGATATTATTTATCTTTATACTGGTGCCAAAATAAAAATTTAGAAAATGTTTCAAAGTTATTGAAATTAAGCTCTAGGTTAGAAAAATTAAAATGAAGGGGAACCAGGCGAATTCTGCAGCGAGTATATACCAGACCACAGGCCACGCCTAGGGCACCACATGAGTCACCGCCGCCACCGTCGCCAGCTTGACGATGCACAGTTAGGCCTGGCATCCCTGGTGGGGCCGTCACTAGAGCGGCACATAACTGCTCCGTCAAGGAATAGTGACACTGTAAATGGAAGACCAGCCACCGGCTCTGGAAAAAATAAACCTCGTCAGTTTGGGATTCCAGCATTCACGGCTTTGACACGTTTGCATAGAGGGGGGCGCCGGCCAGGCCTGGGCAGCTTGGGGCCAGCGGTAAGGACAAGGCAAGGCTGTAAACACTGGAGTCTGTACCGGCTCCCAGTCCATCCTCACACCATGTTATGGGAGAAGGGTCACAAGGTGTAACTCAAGCAACTTAACACATGAAAGTCTAAAGTCCGCTCTCGACATGTAAGTCTGTGCGTGCTTTAACTGAAAAATAAAAATAAAACAAACAAAACAAAAACAGACACATTAAAAGATAACGCAGACCAAATCAAACAGAAGCAAAGACAGCAAGGTGGGCACCGGGAGAGGGCAGTCAGTTTGGCATTTGTGATGAGCCAAGCAGGGAGCTCGCTTCAGTTTGTGGCGTCCCGGGCTGAGGGTCAAAATCTGATTGGGAAGTAATTTCGCAAAAATTGATTACAATTTAAAGAATGAGTACAAACCAACCACAGCCACTTAACTAAATGGCCACGACATGATCCACTCCCAAATGCACGCCTGGTCCACCCTATCCCACTGGACCCCTGAACCCCAATTCCAGCTCCACAGGGACAGAGTGCTCTCTCCCAGGGCCAAACTGACCGAAGCTCTCTGGTATAACCACCCAACAGAAAGGGCTGGCCTTCCAGAACCAGACCCGGGCAACAGCATCCCAGGAGCCCAGACAGCTGGGACAGGCCTCTACTGAGAGCTGGGTCTATCTTAGCAGTGGGGGTTCCGCCCTCAACTGCCCTGCAGTCTCTTCCGCCCCTACCTTTTTTTTTTTTTTTTTTTTTCTTCCGAGACAAGGTTTCTCTGTGTAGCTTTGCGCCTTTCCTGGAACTCACTCTGCAGCCCAGGCTGGCCTTGAACTCACAGAGATCTGCCTGGTTCTGCTTCCCGCGTGCTGGGATTAAGACAGGGTCCTTGCTATGTAGCCCAGGCTAGTCTAACAACTCATTACATAGCTCAGGTTGACCTCAAAGTTAAGAACAATCCCCTTGCGTTTGCCTCCCCGGGGCTGGGGACACAGGCATGTGCTACCACACCTGGCTGGCGCTGGGGCTTCTCCCAGTTTCTTATGTGGGGACACTGTCTACCAATCTCTACTTCCACAAGATTGCCTGGGCCACACTAGCAGGGAGCGGGGCAAAGGCACTTTGAGTATCCAGACTCTGTCCCCTGTCCCTCTCACAAGGAGGCCCATGTCTGAGCTGCCAGCTTAAAGCTCACACTGGCTGTACCTCAACCTCCACACTCACCAAACCAAGGGCTGGGCATGGGACCAGGGCTGAAAACAACGGTAAATTCTCCTGGCAGAGGGGAGCTGGGCCTGGGGTCCTCTGGGAATAGGCAGCTGGGGTGGGCTGTTAGGCCTCAGGATAGGGAAGACTACAAAAAGGGGGACACCCGTCCCAAAGCAGAGAGCAAGCCTTGGGAACCACAATATACATCTATTCCTACATGCTTTGTCTGCACCCCAGAGAAGCACTTAAAGTTTGAGGCAGGAGAGAGACAGAGAGAGAGAGAGAGAGAGAGAGAGAGAGAGAGAGAGAGAGTGTGTGTGTGTGTGTGTGTGTGTGTGTGTGTGTGTGTGTGTGTGCTTGTGCACAGTGAATGCCACCTAGAGGTGAGGCAGGACAATGGCGAGTTCATGCACCAAGATGTGTCCCAGGGCCACAGCTAACAACCCACTGTGAGAGTCTGACCACTAGACTCCACTGCCCCCAAGAATGGCAGGCTTGGGTATATGTATCCTTAAACAATACAATGGAAAACAGCAGCCCAGGAATGAGGCTGAGGATGGATACTTTTTTTGTGTGGGGGAGGGGGTTGGAAAAAAAACAATGAGAGCAAATGCAAGGCAAGGGCCAGGGAAACACAGCCTCTTCACTACTTCCGCAGCGAAGAGGCCGCAGATGCTGAGGTGGATGGGAACACCACGGAATGATGGGGCCCGAGTCTCCAAATGAAGTAGAGTGGGAAACTGAGAACCCTGGAGACAGGGTATCAGACTCTGGATAAGATCTGGGGGAAGGGCTATGGAGAACACCAATATGGCTGGGGATGTAGGCCAATGGTAGAGAACCTATGTAGCATGTGCAAGGTCCTGGGTTCAAATCCCTAGAACCACAAAATAGTTGGTGGGGTTTTGTTGTTGTTGTTGTTGTTTTGTTTTGTTTTTTTAAGAAGACAAAGAAAAGAAGGAGGCAGCAGAGGCAGGGGGTGGGCCAAGCAAAGAAAACGCTAAGGAAACGCTAAGGATGACAGTGACGGCCAGTGCTGACTGGCCTGGCCTTCCGGGTCCCTGCTGTTAGAGCTAGACCCTCTACCAGCTGCCAGCTGCCAGGAGCTCCACACCCCAGCCCCAGAGGCCTAGGGCACATACGCCACAGCTGCTCAAGCAGAAGCACAGGCTCCTCTGGAATCTGGCAGGAAACAAGGACAGCCCCACACCTGTCCCTCTCCTGGACTGGCAGACTTGTCCCAGTCTCCTGTGGCTACACCTGCTTGGCTGTTCCTTGCTACTGGCTGCCCACGTGACCCAGTGCCTTCACTCCCACAGCAGTGAAGAGGCCCCAGATGCTGAGGATGCTGTGGGAGGATGAGGGAGGAGAGAGGTCAAAGGGGGGGCCGGATGGATTAAACAGCTACGGGAGAGAGATCTAGATGGTGGGACATGGAGAAGACTAGGGCAGGAGCAAAATGGAGGTCCAAGGAACCGGTAGAGAGCAAAGGAGGAGGTGAGGGTGAACTGTGGTGAGCAGGAGGCTGAGCACGGGTGACCCGGAGGGACTGAGAAGTGGAGAGAGAGAGAGAGCAGGAGTGACTGAGCCCAGGGGGAAGGAGACAGCCCAGGGAGGGAGGCGCCACTTACTTCTTCTTGTCCTTGTCTTTCCTCAAGGGCTGCTGTGAGGTGGCATGCAAGGCCTGGGACTGCAGGGCCTCCATGGCCGCCTTCCTGCAGTTGAAGGCGTTGGTCTCCTCCTCCAGCTCCCGACGCTTCTCCTCCACCTTGCGCTTCTCCTCCTGGTGGATCCGCTTCAGGTGCTCAAACTTCTCATGGAGCTGGGCAGGGGAGAAGGGAGGCACCTGGGTACGGGCAGACGCGCTCCCCCGCCTCCGCATCAGCCAGCCTGCCCTCAACGTCCTCTCCACAGCCCTCTAGGCCTGACACACACCTCCCGTTCCTTCTCCTTCAACTCCAGCTCGGTCTCCTTCACTTTGTTGACGAACATCTGTCTCATCTCTTCCTCCTTCCTCTGTAGCTCGCTCAGGAACTCCTTCCTCTTGGCCTCGTAGGTCTCCTGGAGGCTGTGGAGACCCAAAGGTAGAACCGAGGCAGTCAGGGAGATGCTGGGCGGGGGCAAGAGGACCCGGGGCTCCCACCAGCCTCTGCCTTCGGGCTCTCGAGGCCTGAGAGAGCAAGTGCTGGCGGGACGAGAGTGGCTGAGGCAGCACAGCGCAGGCTGTCACCTGAAGGGCTGGCTGTCACCATCACTGTCCTGGAAGCCCATCTCCTCCAGTTTGCAGCGCCGGTAGAGTTCGTAATGCCGACTGTGGGTCTGCTCCCGGAGGTCCTCCATGTTCACCCGGATCAGCATCTCCCGCAGCTTCACGAAGTCACAGTGATTCTCGTTCTCCACTGAAAGCAGGGGCGTGGGGGGCATGAGACGGGCACGCAGACTGGGGTGGGGTGGGGGGGACGGACACACGGACAGCTGGGCAGGGGCTGGGTGCCTGGGTGGCTCCGAAACACCACGAGGCAGGTGTGCAGATCAGCAGGGGGAATGTAAGCCAATGGTTAGGGGCCCCACAGAGCAAAACAAGCATGCAGATGGTTGGGGGCCAGCAGGACAGTGGTTGGGGCCCCAGCTGGGCACGGACTCGCCCCACACTCACCCTGCACCACTCCCCAAGGGTACTGCCGTGCTCGGACCAGCTTGTTGCCCACCTTCACCTCCTCTGTGCTGCCCACCACAGCAAAAGGCAGGTGTGCCTGAAAAGGGGCCCAGGTATACATGTGAGCACTTGCTGGAACGAGGAGAGAGACCCTCACCACCCCTGCACCCTAGGGAGGGGCCACCAGCCTTTTACAAGGCTCTGGGCTTAGAGGCTCACTTCCCATCTCTCTCAGAGAAATGTTCTAGACTCCTGGTGTTCCTGTCTGGGGTGGGGTGTCCTCCTCAGGGCCAGCAGAGCTCTCTGGCAGGACCTGTGACCCTGGTCATGCAAGCACTCACACCTTCAGTCAACATACTCCCAGCCAGAGTCTAGAACCTGTGACACTCAGATCTAGGGGATCCTTAGTGCAAACCCAATACCCAAATCCTCTCGTCTGGTGCCCACAGAATTCAGGCCTGGGAGGCAGGGAACGCCTACCCGCCCTGTGCTGGAGACCCGAAGGATAACATTAGGGAAAGCTGAGTCCCCAGGGACTGTGTCTCAGACTGGTGTCTCCCAGCCCTCTGGCTCTGGAGCCCTGAGGGCCCTGACCAACACTCACATTCATGACCGCATTGATCTCTGCAACAGCCTCGTCGTCGGTGGGAAACTGGTAGATCTGGACTCCATTGCTGACCAGCTCACCCATGATCTTGATCTTGAATTTGTGGAGCTCGCTCTTGGAGATGGTGTCAGCCTTGGCAATGATGGGAATGATGTTCACCTGTGAAGGTCAGCGGAGGGAGCGGCAGGTTGGTTGACTATTTGGAGTAATGGTCACTGGGCATGGACAAGCACTAAGAGCGGGGATGGGGAAGACAGTGGCTCCAGTGAGCAGCTGCAGTCCAAAGCCAGCCACCTGTGGCCACTGTGACATCCGGAACCCTGACAACTGGCTGTAAAGCTTCTCAGGGCCCCGGCTCCCCAACATTACTATCCAGCCCCCGGTTTCATCACCATGGCATATTCAACTTGGACCGGAATGCTCTGCAGGTCCTCACTGGCCCGGGGTCTGACAGAAACACTAGCGGTAACCAAGCCACCCACTAGGCAGGTGAGATGACCAGGAGGAGCAACTCTCCAGGCCAAGGTTACCCCATTTTTCATGGTGACAATTAACTCGTGAAATGGAAAGGCAGTCACAAGGACTGAGAGGTAAATATGGGGGGCACGTGTCCTCCAGGACCCCCAACCCTTCCTGACATCCCATGAAACTGCCCTCTATTCTTATTCACAATTCAATTCACAAGTCATTCTCCTCTCCTAGTGAGCTCAGAAGAGAGCCAAGGGGAAGCCATGTCAGACAGGAAAGAAGTGGAGGGGGAGACTAGAGATTAAGAGGCTGGGATGGAAGGGGACACTCTGGGCAGTGTCAGCAGGAGGGCTTCGTCCTTTTACAAGGAAAATGAATGAATGAATGAATGAATGAATGAATGAATAATAAATAAATGAATGAATGAGGCTGCAAATGAGAAGGAAAGTTGCAACAGGGCCCGGAAAGGCTCAGTGGAGGCCACTGAAGTAGCCAGAGAGGACCCAGCTGACCCGGGACCGCCCACTGCAGTCACCACACCTCCTTCCAGAGGCAGACGGCGGAGCTCAGGTGACAAGGAGGGGCACGTACCTTGCTATCTAGTTTCTTCATGGTCACCAGATCCAGGGACTTGAGGGAGTGCCCGGTGGGCGTGATGAAGTAGAGGCAGACGTGGATCCTCGTGTCATGGTAGTCAAAGAGGGAGCGGCGGATCTTCAACTCCTCCTGCAGATAGTTTTCAAACTGCGCGTCGATGTAGTCAACTATGGGCCTGTAACTACAGACAGGTTCATCACCTGGGAGGCAGCCTAGAGCCCGAGCCGGGCTATCCCCATTCTCCCCCCCCTGGGGACAGCTTTGCCCTATCGGGTACAGAAGGCTGACTGACCCCTTCTTCTGTACCCTCCTAGAGGAAGAACTCGTCTGTCCAGGGCCCAAGACCTCAGCCCTTCCCTAGCAGCCTTCCTGGGTCACCCGAGGGTTCTATGTATGGGGCGGTTTGAAGCAGGAAGTGCCTGGGAAGTTTGAGGATGGGGGTCAGCCAGTGCGGGGCGGACAAGGGTAGGTGGGGCCGCCCTTCCCGCCTCTTGCCTGTCATCCTTATTGATCTGGTCCCCAAAGCCCACAGCATCCACGATGGTCAGTTTGAGATGCACGTTGCTCTCTTGGAGGTCGTAGGTCTGAGGCCGCAGGCGTACACAGTCCTCATGGTGACTAGCTTCCTCAGTCTCGAAGGTCGTGTTGAAGAGCGTGTTCATGAGCGTGGACTTGCCGATCCCAGTCTCCCCTGGGAGGGAAGTGAGTATCAAAGGCTAGAACCTGGGCGCTCTGGCTGGCAGCTAGATGAGGTGGGGCTCGAAGACCCTCAGCTCCAGAATGAGAGGGAAGCAAGCCTCCCTCTCCACTCCTCCCTCTCCACTCCTCCCTCTCCACTCCTCCCTATCCACTCCTCACTCTCCCACCCTTGGTGGCCTCTGAAAAGGGTGGGGGCTTAGGCTGTTGCTCACTTTTACAGTACTTGCCTGGCATGTATAAGGAAGGCCCTGGGATTCCATCCCAACACCAACCCCTACCCTCGACACCCCCAAACAAGGTCTGTGAAATGGCTCAGCGGGTACAGGCACTTGGCTGCCAAGCCTAGCAACCCTGAGACCCACACGGTCGGAGGGAAGTGACTCCTTAAGCTGTCCACTGTCATGTGCTCCCTCAAATAAAATGAACAATTTTTTAAAAAGGGGGTGGGGGGAGAGGAAAGGAAAAGAGAAAAAAAGAAGAAAGAAAACAATATTCACAAGAAAGAGTCATAAAGGAAGCCTTTGATGTAAGACAAGGCTATGCAGGGCACGTGACATTGCCCAGGGAGCAGGGAAAAGGCAGTACCAGGCAATGGAGACCGCTGGATGCTGGCTTCAAAGAGACCTGGTCACAAAACACAAGCCTGTTCTGAGCACCACCCTTCTTGGGCCACGGTGGCCACGGGTCCACAGGAACAGGACCTGAAGCCACCAGCAGCTGGTCCCTGTAGCCTGGGCAGCCTCAGCTTTCCATGGTCTCCTTCTTCACAAGGGATATGTGCAGAGGGCCCTGCAGATATCTTTGTGCCTCTGGGAGTCCTAGGCCTTGGACACATGGAGACTCCCTGGTCAGGTTGCGTTTGTTCCAAAGTGTACTAGAGATTTACCCTGTGACCCGGTGACAAAGCAGGGTCTCATTCACCCTTGTATCCTTGTCACATAGTAAGAAGGGAAGAATAATTTTTAAAAATTTTTTTATTATTTATTTATTGATTGATTGATTGATTGATTTTTTTTTTTTTTTTGGAGACAGGGTTTCTCTGTGTAGCTTTGGTGCCTGTCCTGGAACTCACAGAGATCCGCCTGCCTCCCGAGTGCTGGGAGTAAAGGCGGGCACCACCATCTGCCTAGCCAAGATTTATTTTTATTTATGTGTGCGTGTGCTTGTGTGTGTGCGTGCGTGTGTGTGTGTGTGTGTGTGTATCTGCAGGTACCTATGGAAATCAGAAGGAGGGTGTCAGGCTCCCCGGAACTTGAGCTACAAGGAGCAGAGAGCCACCTGACATGGGTGCTGGGAACAGATGTCCTGACCTCTGGAAGAGCAGCAAGAGCTCCTAACCACTGGGCCATCTCTCCAGCCCCGTGAGGTTTTTGTTTTTTTTTTTTAAATAATGAATGAACTTGTGACTGTGAATTTCTATGATAAACACCCACAGTTTCGGCAGCACTTTTATGGACCCACTTCCGTTTCCTCTGTGGCGACTCTGAGTCGGGCAGGTCCTGGCCCTAATCCTGTTTTGATCCTGACAGAGGCAAGACCAAAGCCTGAACCCAAGATCTCCCTCTGCTTGGGAACCCCCACCCCAGCTTGTCAGGTGGCCAGCACAGACTTCCTAGAAGTCTCCCCCATCTTCTGCCTCCCCCCCCCCCCCCCCC